ATAAGAGTCTCATGGGGACTTTTCTGCCTGAGCTAGCTTTGAACCACAATCCTCAGATCTCAGCCTCCTGAGTAGCTAGGATTACAGGCGTGAGCCGCTGGTGCCTGGCTGGGGTCTATATTGTATCACCCTGTTCCCTTTCCTTCTGGATACTCATCATTTTACTCAGAAATGTTTAGGAATGTACCTCTAAGAGATATGGACTTTAAAAATAAATCACCTCAATATCATTGACACCTACTAAAATTAGCGTTATTTCCTAGATTTCACCAAATATCCAGTTTCCATTAAAAAGTCATTAACTAGCTCATAACTATTTCTTTTTCTTTTTTTTTTTTGGGTCCAGTCGTGGGGCCGGAACTCTGGGCCTGGGCGCTGTCCCTCAGCTCTTTAGCTCAAGGCTAGTGCTCTACCACTTGAGCCACAGCGCCACTTCCGGCCTTTTTCTTTTGGCTTATGTGGTGCTGAGGAATCGAACCCAGGGCCTCAGGCATGCAAGGCAAGCGCTCTACCACTGAGCCACCTTCCCAGCCCATCTCATAACTATTTCATTGGCAGTTGATTAGCTTAAATCAGGGATCCCAGAAGTTCTGAATAATACAGTTGTTTGATTTTCCTCTTAGGGCTGGCTTTCTTTATCTATAGTCTTGTGTTAGCCCATTTTTATCTCTATACTACAGCCTGGATAATTTATAAAGAATCAACATTGAACTTTGCTGAAAAGTCCATGAGCTGCTCTGTTTAGCATCTAGCCCTTTTCTCTGGGTCATGGTGTGGCACAGAGCATCATGTGGAGGGACAGATCTAGCAAGACAGAAAACTTGTTTTTATAACAAAGCAACTCCATTGAAAAACCATTAATCCAACAATTGTTTTATTCATGAATGAATTGATTCATTCAGGAGGGCAGAGCCCTGAGGCCCCCATCACTTTTTTCTCTGCTGGTATTTGGGCTTGAATTCAGGGCCTCACCCTTTCACTAGGCTTGTTAGCTTAAGACAGGTACTCTACCATTTGGGCCATACCTCCACTTCCAGCTTTTTGCTGGTTAATTGAACATAAAAGTCCCTTTGTCTGCTTGGCATTTTTGTTATTCTTTTCTTTTCTTTTTTTTTTGGTGGGTCGTGGGCCTCAACTCTGGGCCTGGGCTCTGTCCCTCAGCTCTTCAACTCAAGATTAGTGCTCTACCACTTGAGCCACAGTGCCACTTCCAGCTTTTTCTGCTTATGTGGGGTACTGAGGAATCGAACCCAAGTCTTCCTGCATGCAAGGCAAGCATTCTACCACTGAGCTACCTTCCCGGCCCTGACATTTTTGCTCTTAACTGATGTTTTAGAGCTGGAGCCATGTCTCTACTCTAGTTTTTTTTTTTTTTTTTGCTTGCTGGTTAGAGATGAGTGCCACATACTTGTTTGCTTCTGTTGGCTTTGAACTATTATTCCCAGATCTCAGCCTCCTGAGTAGCTAGAATTACAGGTATGAGCCACCAGCACCTGTCAACCCAATCACTCTTTTTTTTTTTCCAGTCCTGGGTCTTGAACTATTCCTGAGCTTCTTTTGCTCAAGGCTAGCACTCTACCACTTGAGCCACAGCATTACTTTTGGCTTTTTCTGTGTATGTGGCACTGAGGAATGGAACCCAGGGCTTCATGCATGCTAGGCAAGCACTCTACCACTAAGCCACTTTCCCAGCTTCAACCCACTCACCTTTAATGGTCCCACCTTTTAAAAGTTCACAATGGGGAGGGGCTGGGAAGGTGGTTCAGTGGTAGAGCTTTTGCCTTGCATGCTCGAGGCCCTGGGTTCAATTCCTCAGCACCACATAAGCAAAAAGAAAAAAGCCGGAAGTGGCGTTGTGGCTTAAGTGGTAGAGCGCTAGCCTTGAGCTGAAGAGCTGAGGAACAGTGCCCAGGCCCAGAAATCAGGTCCCATGGCTGGACCCCCCCCAAAAAAAAGTTCACAATGGGGATTAAATTTTGACCTAAGTTTTGGTGTGAACAACCAAACAATAGTACCCTCTTCTCCCCTAGATGTTTATTGATGCTGAAGATTAAGAAACGGAATCTGTTGTCTTTGGGAGTTTTCAACTTTATCCAGCAATCAGCAAGCCTGGGGCATTCCCCTAAAGTCTGTCTCTAATCTGTCACTCTCCCCTCCCCGCCCCCCATCCTTAAGACCTCTGCCCTCCCTTACCCCTTCCGTTGAGTTGGATTGGCTATCTTGGTCTCCTGGTGGTCCATCTGCTTTTTCCATTCAGCATTCGGTCCCTTTATCATCTCTGACCATTTCTTTTCTCTTCACTTACCTCATCCTCTTTCTGGTGATACTTACTCTCCATTCTCCAAATTCATCTCCGCTTACTCTAGTATCTTGCTCTATGTTCCTTGTCTAGACTTCCGTTTCTTATGCTATCCACTGACTCCTGCTCCAATCCTGCCCTTGATGACTCTAAGACTGTTAGTTTGGAAGAAGTCTTTCCCAGGGACCTCTGGGCAATTTCTCCTGGAGGAATGTAGCACATAGAGCCTGCCTATAGCTAGAGGCAATAGCAAGTTGGGCCCAAGCTGTGATGGAGTGATTGTTGTCAGGATCATTGGAAGAAAAGAGCAGTAGTTCTGACCTGTTCCTTCTGCAGTGTGGCCATCCTCTGCTACCTCTGCCGCAAGTACAGTGCACCTTCCCACTGGTACCCACCGGACCTGCATAATCGTGCCCGTGTTGATGAGTTCATGGCCTGGCACCACACAGCCATTCAGCTGCCGATGAATAAGATACTCTGGTTCAAGGTGAGAAGGGCCTTGTCTGGAGTTTAGGGACAAAGTAACAAGGGAGTAAGGAAGTTTGGAGTCTAGTCCTGGCCTTGCTCTCTAGTTGTGAGCTCAAGCTGTCAGAGCATCATTTCCTCTGCTTCCTCTCCTTCCTGTCTTATGGCATTGATGGGAGTGTGGCATGAACCATTGGGTGTGAAAGAATTTTATTAAGACAAGAGGAAAGGTACCCAAAAAGGGCTCAAGTGACTCAACTCAAGATAGAATTCAAGAAATTTCATTCTGAACTATAGAATATTAGTGTCAAAGGTCCACGGAGAATAAGTTTGGAGATATAAATAGCTAGCACATATGTCCCTATTCTAACTCTATTCCTGTGTCTTAGTCTGCATCTGGTTGCTATGACAAAATTCCAGAGGTCAGTTTAACTTTTAAAGAAAAGAGGCTTATTTAGCTCACTGTTTTGGAGGCTGAAAATCCAAACACAGTATAGGCTCTGATGAGGGCCATCACAATTGGAGCAAGTTAAAGAGGGACCAAAGTGGGCTGAGGTGTAGCTCAGTGGCAAAATGCTTGCCTGGCAAGTGCAATGTCCTGGGTTTCACCCTCAGTACCAAAAAAGAAAATTACAAAACATAATGAGAAAAGGAAGCCAGAAAGTAGGAGAGGAGCCAGTTTTGCTATAACAATTTTCTCTCATTCGAATTAACTTGCTGTATAAGAACTACTTTAAACTCTTCTAAAGATAGTATGCCCAGTGACCTCTTATTAAATTTGACTTCTTATATAACCCACTGGGCAGGTGAGGGGAAACTGAGTTTCTAACCCATGAACCCTTGAGGGACATCTTCAAACCACATCTAATCCATAGCCACCTATTACAGACATCACTAGTCAATCACTGGATTCATTTTTGTTGGGATCTCAAAATCCTTCTGAATACACAGTGCCCAGGAAATGTCTACGAATGAAAACCACCCAAAATGTGAAACAACTTCCATCCTTGAAACTGCCCACTCTGTATCTAGCTGACGGGATGGTGGAGGTCTAGAAGCTCAAATGGGATGGGGTATAGCCTTCTTTTTGTTTTCTTCCCCACCTGGCCAGTTGCTGATTCCGATGATCACGGGTGAGAAGGTCTCCGATGAGAGGACAAACGAGATACTGGAAGATGTGAAGAAAAGCCTTTTACAGTTCGAGGAGAAATTTCTGCAGGACAAAATGTTCATCACTGGGGACCGCATTTCACTGGCTGACTTGGTGGCCTTGGTGGAGATGATGCAGGTGTGAGATGAAGTAGTTGGTGGTCAGAGCCTGGGCAGAGGCAGATGTTTCTGAGATCAGTGGGAATATAACTTAAGGATAGACTAGTGAAGTAGGAAGGGGAGGCAAAAAGTTGTGTCCAGGTCTGGGTGCCTGAACTCCATCTTGAGGCAATGGGAAGAAAGGGCAGAAAGTTTTGAATCAGGGAGGAGAGTGATTATCTGTCTGTGTAGATGTGTGTTTGGGCCGGCAAATGTGCGCATGTGTGCCTGCCTGTCAGGACTGAGGCTTAAACTCAGAGCCTGGGCACTGTCCTTTAGCTTTATCTGCTTAAGGATAGTCCTCTAGCATTTAAGCCACAGCTTTACTTTAAGAATTTTGCTGGTTAGCCGGGTGCTGGTGGCTCATGCCTGTAATCCTAGCTACTCAGGAGGCTGAGATCTGAGGATCGCGGTTCAAAGCCAGCCCGGGCAGGAGAGACCGTGAGACTCCTATCTCCAATAAACCACCAGGAAACCAGAAGTGGCGCTGTAGCTCAAGTGGTAGAGCGCTGGCCTTGAGCTGAAGAGCTGAGAGACAGCGCCCAGGCCCAGAGTTCAAGCCCCATGACCGACAAAAAAAAAAGAATTTTGCTGGTTAACTGGAGAGAGAGTTTCACAGACTTTACTTCCTGACTTTGAACTGAGATCCTTTGATCTTAGACTCCTGAGTAGCTAGGACTGCTGGAGTGAGCCATTGGCACTGGCTCTGATTTTCTAATCTTGACAAGGATTCTAAGGTGTGGGGAGGAGGTAGAGGGTGAACCTGGGATACAGAGAACATCATATTTCTCTGTTCATTCACCAGGACCCCAGATGCCTTTTCCTTCTAGTGACTCTCCAGGAAATAGAGGCTTCTGGCCTTGCCTTTTCTTACCCCAGAACTTCAGACAGGGCAGCTGGTTCTGAGGAGTATTCACTATGCATTTGCAAGGTTTTTATAAGCACAGGAGGGTAGCTAGTTTTGACCTAGCTGGTGTATACAGGCAAGATGGCCACTTTGGGATACTGGCCAATGTCTTGAGAGGCCAACCATAGTCTGTGGCCAATATGTAATGTGGCCATTTTGGTCCTCTGCAGTGCAGAAAAGCACCAGTACAAGCTATTCCAGCCTGGTCCATACTCTTTCTATGTTACTCAACCCACCCCCTCTTGGGCCACCTGAACATTTCAGGTGTGTATTTCTTTGTGTGTGTGTGTGTGTGTGTGTGTGTGTCTGTGTGTGTGTCTGTGTGTGTCTGTATCTGTGTACGTGCATATGTGTGTATGCCATTATTGGAGCTTGAATTCAAGGCCTTCGCACCCTCTCTTGGCTTTTTTCACTTAAGGCTGGCACTCTACCACTTAAGGCACACCTCCACGTTCAACTTTTTTTCTGGTTAGTTGTAGATAAGAGTCTTAGGGACTTTTCTGCCTGCACTTCTTAATCCTAAAACCTCAGCCTCCTAAGTGGCTAGAATTACAGATGTTAGTCATCAGCATTGGGTACTTTTTTTTTGGGGGGGGAGGGACTGGTACTGGGGCTTGAACTCTGGGTCTGGGTGCTATCCCTTAGCCTATCTGCTCAAGATTGGTGCTCTACCACTTGAACCAAAACCCTACTTCTAGCTTTTGGGTGGTTAATTGGAGATAAGAATCTCATAGACTTCCCTGCCAAGGCTAGCTTTGAACTGTGATTCTCAGAACTCAGCCTCTGGAGTAGCTAGGATTAGAGAAGTGTGAGCCCCTGGCACCTGGAAGAGTATATATTTTAATTAATTAATTAATTTATGCATACATGCATGCATGCCAATCCTGGGGTTGAACTCAGGGCCTGGGCACTGTCCCTGAGCTGCTTTGCTCAAGGCTAGCACTGTACCATTTGAACCACATCATCACTTCCAGCTTTTTCTGAGGAATTGAATCCAGGGCTTCATGTGTGCTAGACAAGCACTCTACCACTAAGCCACTTTCCCAGCACAGAGTTTGTATTTTTTCAGGAGGCAGCTGAACTAGAGTCAGCCAGCTAGCTGAATCTCTTTTTTTTATCCTTTGTGCTTTATCATCAAAGGAGATTCTATATGTAGATGGCTGTGGGGTGGGAGGAAGACTTAGTTCCTCTCACACATACTCCCTTGAACACAAGGGGCTTCCCTGGAAGAAGGCAAAGATCCATGGAAGATTTTTCAGGCTGGAGAAGTGGCAACCATTTTAGGCCAGGTGTCACCTCAGAGAGAGGTTTGAGATCCTTGGAATAAGACCAGTGATCAACAACCTTGGAGGTTTCTGGGTCCTCCATACAACCCAACATCTAATTATACACTTCTGATTCCTAGCCAAGCCCCAATTTCAACAGATGGCTAACTCTTTGGGGACTGTTAGAGAGGTCCCCTGAGGCTATAGGAGATGACCTGAGTGGGAGGTGGTACCCAGGTTAAGCACATTTTCCTCTCTGTCTATCCACAGCCCATGGGAGGAAAACATAATGTCTTCCTCAACAGTCACAAGTTGGCCGAATGGCGTATGCGTGTAGAGCTGGCCATTGGATCTAACCTCTTCTTGGAGGCTCATGACCGGTTGTTACAGTTGGCAGAATGGGACTGTTCAACACTGGATCCAATGGTCAAGGAGAGGATCCGTGGGTTTCTGCGGAAGTACAAGTGACCCAGAAGCAAGGGATCCAACAGGGTTTCTGCGGAAGTACAAGTGACCCAGAAGCAAGGGATCCAACAGGGCCGGGCTGGCTCAGCCCTTTGAACCTTTTCCTGTAAGGGAGACCTTAAAAAGCAACTCTGTTCCTTGGCCTAATAAAGAAGTGGAACAACCAGCATGACTGTGAAGTCAGGGATAGTTAATATAAGCAGAGATCTTATAGCTACTCAGAAGGCCAAGATCTGAGGATTGTGGTTCAAAGCCAGCCTAGGTAGGAAAGTGTGTAAGACTCTTATCTCCAATAAACTACTTAAAAAAAAAAGCTGGTGGCTTATGGCTACAATCCTAGCTACTCAGAAGGCTGCGATCTGAGGATCATGGTTCAAAGCCAGCCTGGGCTGGGAAAGCCCATGAGACTCTTACCTCCAATTAACCACTAGAAAATTGGAAGTGCTGTGACTCAGAGTAGTAAGAATGCTACCCTTGAGAGAAAAAGCTCAGGGACTGTGTTCAGGCTCTGAGTTCAAGCCCCACTACACACACACACACACACACACACACACACACACACACACACACAGAGTCAGAAATGGAGCTGTGGCTCAAGTGGTAGTGTTAGCCTTGAGCAAACAGAAACTCAGGGACAGAACCCAGGCCCTAAGTTTAAGCCCCAGGACTAGCATTATATATGTGTGTACATATATGAGTGTGTGTGTGTGTGTGTGTGTATATATATATACACACACATAAACGTGTATGTACATATACACAGATATACACACACATGTGCAGAGAGCCTGATGGGGGAGCAGGTAGTCATCTTGGATCCTCTCTGTGTCCAGAAAGTAAATATTAAGCCAGCCACTAGTAGTTCACCCCTTAATTTTAACTACTCAGGATCCCAGAATTGAGATGTTAGCTAGGTCAGGAATGTCTGAGACTTATCTCCAATTAATTACCAAAATAGCCAGAGGTGGGTTGAAGCACAAAAAGCTCAGGGACAGCACCTACACACTGAGTTCAAGCTCCAGTATAGGCTCCTCTGGCCTCCCCCAAAAGAGAAGTTTGAAAGGGGCTGCTGTGACCCTACCACACTATGAGGACACAACAAGGAAATGCTATCCTCGAAGCAGAGAGTGAGTCTTCAGTAGACACTGAATTGGCTAAAGGATCTTGGGACTCACTAGCCTCCCAAAGTGTGAGCAAGAATGTCTATTGTTACCCTGGCGTTGTCGGTGGCTCATGCCTATAATCCTAGCTACTCAGGAGGCTGAGATCTGAGGAACGTGGTTCAAAGCCAACCCCAGCAAGAAAGTCCGAGAGACTCTAATCTCCAATTAACCACCAGAAAACTGGAAGTGGTGCTGTGGCTCAAGTGGTAGAGCACTGGACTTGAGCTGAAGAGCTCAGGGACAGCCAGCAGGCCAGAGTTCAAGCCCCACAACTGGGGGAAAAAAAAGTCTATTGTTTACAAATGACTCCATGGATAGGATATTATGTAACAGCCTACTTAAGACTAAACCCTCTAGGGAATGTGATTCAGAGACTAGCACTATCCGGAGCAGGAAAATCATCGTCTATTTCCTGCCAGTGCTTTTGGAATGATCACAAAATGCTGAAAATGCATTGAAGCTTTACCCCCTGCTGGCACCAGGATCTTTGGAGAGTTGGTAGAGGATAGATTCTCCAGTCAGACTTCCTGGGTCTATCATCATCATGTAGTGCTTGTTTCCCCACCTGTAAAATGGGAATAGTTGGAAATTCTGACACTCACAGAGACAAGAATATGCCTTGAAGACCTTATGCACAATCAAATAAGCCAGTCACTGAGACTAGGACCTCTTTGTATCTCCTTTGCATCCTGCAGGGAAAATGATCTCTGATGTGCTAGGGCTGAGACTCCAGAAACTCCACTCCTTCCCTGGTGGTCAAAATGCAGTCAGAAAGTGTCCCAGAGAAGGTGGCTCAGTGGTAGAGCGCTTGCCTTGCATGCATGAGGCCCTGGGTTCAATTCCTCAGCACCACATAAGCAAAAAAAGAAAAAAGCCAGAAGTGGCGCTGTGGCTCAAGTGGTAGAGCGCTAGCCTTGAGCTGAAGGGCTGAGGGACAGTGCTCAGGCCCAGAGTTCAGGCCCCACAACTGGACCAAAAAAAGAAAAAAGAAAGTGTCCCAGAGCTTGGGGCCTCCCAATGGGGTGTGGCCACCGCTGGATTGATCCCAGACCCTAGCCAGCAGCCTGAGTGTTGGTTGTGTGTCTCCGGTTCTCTCTCCGACCATGGGCCTGGAACTCTACCTGGACCTGCTGTCCCAGCCCTGCCGCGCCATCTATATCTTCACCAAGAAGAATGGCATAACCTTCCAGCAGCACACTGTGGAACTGCTCAAAGGTGGGTTGGGAGGCCGGAGGAGAGGAGGGTCAGACTAGGAAGCAAAAAGCTTAGGGGATTTCTTCTAGTGCCACCTACTTTCTGGAGCCTTTGCTGATTTGGAGACAAAATGAGAAAGGTGAACCACCAGGTAGATACAAGATTCAAGATGATTCCCCCACACCTTTCTGTTGCTTGGAATGGACAACTCAGCTGAAGAGAAAGGAGGAGGAGAGGCATGAAAAGAGAAACAGGGAGGACAGGAAAAGAGAAGCCTAGACCAGCACAATTGGGTGTGGCCTGGGCCTCCGGAGAAGAGGTGGTGGGAGAAGATGGGCTAGAGGATCAAGTGTACAGATGGTGACAGCCAGGCCGCTCCTTTGTGGTCTGCTGTGCTTAGGTTACTGGCTTTCTAGTCAAGGTCTGGCTTTCCAGTCATGCACTTCTGCCCTATGCTAGTTCTGATGATCTACCCCTTTGTTCCTCTGGCTTGCCTCTTTCCTCAGTTATCCTACTGGGGAGGGCAGCTGCCCCCATGAAATTTCTAGAAACAGGAGCTCCCTTTACCCCCAAGGCAGGGCTTGGTGAACTCTGGACTATAAGCCCAGGACGTTTGTTTCTTTGGCAGGCTGCCTAGGTCCCGAAAGGCCACAGCTGGAAGGAATAGGCGAATCAGAGTGGTAGGAGGGGTTGGCAGCTGATGGGGGGTGGTGGTAGAATGGGGTGGCAGCCAGTTGGCAGCAGAATGCCCATCTTGATGCTGCTGGATAGGAAAATGGACACTACTTAGCTAAACTTTCTACTCAGTGCACCTGCCACCATGGTGGGCCCTCTCCAGCCTTTGTGCCTTTGACTTTCTGTTTACTCCTCTATCAAAACTTCATACCTCCCATCCTGTTTCTGGTCACCACCTTCCTTATAGCCCACAGAGATTGCCCTTGGCTAATAGGACCCAAGAGAGGGCCCCAGAGTCAAGGGGATATGCAAGTTTGCTGCCAAATACAGGGATGCAGCAGACAGTTCCTAGGGGAAGGATCTACCCAAGGGAGGGTAATGAGAGGGTGGCCAGGAGGCGAGAGAGAAAAGGCAATTGTGTATGACTTTGAGGAGCTTCCAACAGACCCAAGGGTAATGGGAAGTCCTTGAACACAGAACAAAGCTGCAGTGAGACAAGTATTCTCAGTGTCTCTAAGGTTGCATCTGTGGGAGCAAATAAAAGCTACCCATATAAGCCCAAACAGAGGCCTGAGTCTCAGAGGCCTCTGTGTCTCTCAGAACTGTAAGTGAGGCAAGTCTCTTAATGAGGCAAAGAGTGTGGATGTTTATTTTGCACCAGAACATCCCACACCCCTTCTCCCATAGTAGCCCACAGCCTTTCCCATTCCAGTAACCAGTGGGGAGAGGAGTCATGAATTTGGGAACTGGGAGTGGGCCAGACTACACAGAAGACTTGGTTATTCTACTCCCAACTCTCTCATGTGGGGCTATCTGCAGGCCAGCACCTCAGTGATGCCTTTGCCCAGGTGAACTCCCTGAAGAAGGTGCCAGCCATGAAGGATGGGGACTTCATCTTGACTGAGAGGTAATCAGGACTAGGGATGCTGACACCATCTGGCCTGGCCAGTTACAAAGAAACTAAAGTACTCAGAGGCTAAAGGCTCCTTGGCCATCCCACAGAAAGTTGGGGCTGGGGAGCTGGGAATGTGGCTTAGTGGTAGAGCGCTTACCTAGCATGCACCAAGCCCTGGATTTGATTCCTCAGTACCACATCCACAGAAAAAAAAACAGAAGTGGCTCAAGTGGTAGAGTGCTAGCCTTGAGCAAAAGGAGCCCAGGGATAGCACCCAGACTGAGTTCAAGCCCCAGGATTGGAAAAAAAGAAGAAGAAGAAGAAGAAGAAGAAGAGAGAAAGTTGGGGCTGGAACCCAGGTCTCTGCCTGTCTGCTATTGTAATTCATCAGGCAGTGTTGAAATATTAGGCCATCTGAGGTTGGTCTGAATGCCAGAGGATGAGAGTAGATACAGACTGGCATGATCCACAGATCATCCAGGCTCCGCTTGGATTCCATCTCCTCCAAGAAACTCTCCCTATTCCTCTGACCAGAAACAACCACTTAACACTTGATGAGTCATTCTTACAGAATATTGTCTGGTCAACAAGGTGAATTTGATTATTTCCTAACCTCAGAAAGCCTCTCATCTCTGTCATCAAGAGCAAATCCCTTCCCCTTTCAAAGATTGCTTTCTCTGTTTGGAAAATGAAGGCAGGTTGTTAGGAAGATCAAGTCCCTAGTTCTTCATTTACCCATTATGATGTTCTCCCCACCCCACCCCCCAACACCCACACAGTGTGGCCATCTTGCTCTACCTGGCACATAAATATAAGGTTTCAGACAACTGGTACCCTCAGGACCTGCAGGCCCGTGCCCGTGTGGATGAGTACCTGGCATGGCAGCACACAACCCTGAGGAGAAACTGCCTCCGGGCCTTGTGGCATAAGGTGAGTTTGGAAAGGTGGGAGGGACAGTCAGGGGCTCAGGCAACGTCAATTCTTCTCAATTTGGATCCTCTTCCTCTTCTTCTTACTCTTTTCTCCGCCTCTTTTCTCTTCCTCCTCTTTTTTTTTTTTTTTTTTTTCGGCCGTGG